ATAGAAAATCAATTTATCGTCTTTTACATCTTAATAATTGTATATAAAATTATCATAAGTCTGTTATTATTTTTATTTCTTCTTGTGATTACCAATATCACTAAAGATCAAAAAATGAATATAAAAATGTTCGCTTCTATACAATTTAATCCAAATAAATATTTCTAATTACAACAATACAATTAAAAATCATAATTTACAGTATTAAAATTAATTAATTCAGAAAACCGTTCATTATAAATATAAAAAAATTAACCCAGTTAATCAGTTATAAAAACATTCACTCAGGCGTTACCTAGCGTATACTTAACTAATGAATTTTATAGTATTATGTAAGATTCCAATTATTAAAATTTGTCAACAGTAGCTATAATAATACATTTAATAAAGAAGTAGTAATAATGTTGAGTGACTTTTAAGAGATAAGTTTTTGTGTTAAAATTTTAAATATACTCAGCCAAATTAGAATCAAGCAAATTAATAGACATATAATATTATTATTATCATCGTAAATTTTAGATAGCGTTAAATAAATAAATACATTATAATTATATTTTACGATTACAGTCAATTATTGTATCTTCAAAATCCCGAAATGCAAGATAACCAAAAATATACCTGATCAGCTTAATAACATCGTCTAATTGAAAAATCATGTCCAAACAATGTATACGTCGAACTGATCCGCATCTTCTAGCTGCCTCAAAACAATAAAATATGAATAAATAATTTATATCTTCTCCCAGAATTCAAACTGCATGCTGGCTAGTATGTTGTTTATTAAAATTTCCTGCAATTAGCAATTAAATATTAATAAAAAGAACTAAACTTAATGATTATAAATTCTTACCTTGATAAATATTATAATTTGCAGTAATATGTTAAGAAGAAGAAGACGATGAAGGACTTGGTGAATTGTATCTAAATTGACCATCAATTTGAGGAACAATATCAGGAGTTACCGGTCGACTTTCAACCCCTAAAATTTCACTATAACCTTTTCTATTATAATCCAGTGAATTCAAATTTTTCTCAATTATAGAGTCTAAATCTGTTTGACTATTTTGATTTTCTGGACCAGATGCGATATTAAGACGTTTGAACCAGGGTTCAATCAAATCAGACTCATCAAACATTGCATTATCATCAGTAGCTTCTTCATCATCTATAATGACTTTTTGACTGATACTGATAGTTTTTTGAATGTTATTAATCATGAATTCTTGGTTATAAGTATCTTCGGTTGAGCCATCACCATCATCATCAGCTGCTTCTTCATCACTTCTTTTATCACTAAGAATTATCACCTTCACCTTCACCATCTGGAGGATCGCGAGTATCTTCTTCTCCTTCTGGGGGATCACGAGTATCTTCTTCTCCTTCTGGGGGATCACGAGTATCTTCTTCTCCTTCTGGGGGATCACGAGTATCTTCTTCTCCTTCTGGAGGATCACGAGTATCTTCTTCTCCTTCTGGAGGATCACGAGTATCTTCTTCACCATCTGGAGGATCGCGAGTATCTTCTTCACCATCTGGAGGATCGCGAGTATCTTCTTCACCATCTGGAGGATCACGAGTATCTTCTTCACCATCTGGAGGATCGCGAGTATCTTCTTCACCTTCTGGAGATTCACGACTAGCTTCTTCATCATTACTACCTTCTGGTGATTCACGAGTAGCTTCCTCGTCGCTATCACCTTCTAACAAATAACGCGATCTCATTTTGTCAATCAAAACTGTAGTATATTTCTTTTTTAAAAAATTTATAAATGTTAATATGTAGAAGACACTAGGAATTAATTAGCTCGTGGCAAGACCCTGCAATTTTGATTTGTACTTATAGATATGCAATGTTTGACTGTCAACTAGTCAATGATCTCGCATGAACTCATCATCAAAATATATGAGAATTGTACCTGTAATTTATTTCTATTCTAACTACAATTTCTATGAATTTTGATCTGAGCTTACTATAGCTTAAGGATTATAAGTACTTACTTATTTTATTATTTATTTCATTATACTAAAACCAGGAAATATCTGATGATTTTTTCAATTTTTATATCAAATCAATTGTGATAAAAATAATTTTTTGCATTCGCACTTATAATTTTTTTTAATTCATACATGTGGAATTTTGACTAAATTTTTTTCATAACAATTTAACTGTTATAAAAATCTGAAAAAAAATTAAAAATCAATTTTTTCACTTCTTAAGAATTTTGTTTCAGTCTTTGGTTGATTAAATTTGAGCATTATAATTCGTTATTCTATCATCTGTACATCATAAATTAAATATACCTAGCATAGTTGAGTAATAATACTTAAATTAACAATCATCTAATAATTGTTTAGATTTTTTTATAATAAAATTATATAATTAAAGAAATTTAGTAAAAAAATTTCACATTCCAGTTTGCTGAATTCAGTATTATTTTGATTATTATCAAAAATGTATGCATTATTTTAATTCATTATCATCCATAAATTTTAAAGATTTTTGGTTTTTTGGAATAATATTATAACAATATTTGTTTAAAAAAAAAAAAAATATCATTGTTATAGTTTTAAAATTTGCACTCAACTAGTGATTTTTGATAGCAGTTGAATTAA